CCCCCCCCCCCCCCCCCCCCCCCCCCCCTCCCCACTGAGCGACTTTTCGGCCGGCGCGATTTTCAAATTTTCGGGAGCAAAAAAAAAAAAAGTTGGGCCCCCTCCCCTAAGAAATCCTAGATCCGCGCCTGAAGGGGACCCTATAATTTTATAAGGGGTTAAGTTATGCATATTTGGAAGGGAAAAGCAAATCAGAATTTTTATATTTCTGGAGATGGGTTGGGGAAAATAATTTCAGGAAAATCTTTCCCTTCTGACAATACTTCTGAATCTGCCCCCGCTAAGGGGTGGATTTGATACATATTTTACTTTTTATCGTTTCCCTCATTTTGTTCTGAGAAAAACAGCACGCATAGGGATCGAGGGTGACAATCACATAGATAATTTTACAAAACAATATTGCAAAACTTTCAATCACATAAATCATTGCACAAAACGATATTTCTTTTTATGAAACCTCTCTCAGTCTAGCTAGATTACTATAGAATATGTAAAACCTTCTGTATAGTATAACCAGGGACTTGGAAGACTGACCTTGGCATTTCGAAGACAAATGAAGTGTGGGTATGGGGGAGATGGGGGGGGGGGAGGGCGTGGGGGGGGGGGGGCAACAGTTCGCTCGTTGGTGCACATCAGGACTAAACGGTTAACCTGAAAGGAAATTCCCCACCGGATCGCAGTGAATTACAGTTCAAAGGTCGTATTTGTTTCATCTAATCACTGAATTTGGGGCTAGGCTGTCTGCGCAGTATCTTTCGACGGCTTGAGAGCTCGTGTGCGCAGCTAGCTAGCAAACAGGTAGTCAGCTTTTGATCTCACAATCATTTCGAAGAGAAAAAGACCTGCGAGTGGTACTGAAATGAATAGACACCTTCAATCACTGCTCCTACTGAGCATCGCATTCTCGTTCTCCTCCTTCGCCCTAGTTTCGGCCAAGGAGCGGATCTACTATGTGGGTATCATCGAGCGCGACTGGGACTACTCCCCAAACAAGATGAATGAAATCACCGGAAAGAATATTACTGCGGACAGGTAAGTTGATGTTGTTTATTCAGTTGAATATTACGAGTTTGTCTATAGTGGTATGATTTTGATGGAGATGGGGATATGTTGAAATGGAGCATCCTCGATATCGAATTAATTTACTTCATATTCACCGTCTATTAAAAACTATTGTACTTATCAAACTACCCCGTCTACCCGTAGGCCAACGTATGGGGTATGAATTATGGAATTGCTTTTGTATTGATACATTTTTTTAAATTTTTATTTTATTTTAAAAATACCTTTGATTTAACAATACATTATACATATAAGCAAATATATAAATATAAATAATACAAAGAATATGGAGGAGCCAGCAGAGGCCATTGGCCTTTCAAAGGCTGGGCTCCAGTGTCCTCAGATAATACAAAGTACAGAGTAAAAAACAAAACAATGGGTAGTAAATAAATAAACAAATGAGTACAGGCTAATTAAATTAAACATACGATAGGAATTCCTTCATTAAATAGTTCTTGTATTTACGTTTAAATGAGGCAACAGATTGGCACATTTTTATATGGGTAGGTATTGCATTCCAACTAATTACTCCGGAATATTTAACTGATCTACGTGAAGTATGGTATTTTAACAATGGAATATATCAATCATTAGCATGTCACGTGGAACAAACGGGGAATTGTTTTACAAATCCCTGGAACAGATCAACTTCAAACTTTATGTTCAGATCAGAAGGGTGGGGTAGATTAATGATTGATATAGGATAATTATGATAAGAGTGTACGTGTTGGTAGCGTAGTAATGATTGTAGATCATTATTGTTGTGATGAGTATTATGATGGTGGTGGTGATTATTTAGGTGGTGGTAGTGGTGATTGTGCATTATTGTTGTGATGATTATGATGATGATGGTGATGGTGGTGGTGGTGGTGGTGGTAGTGGTAGTGGAAGTGTAGAATTTAAATGGCAATGGTAATGATGATTATGATGACGGTGTTGATGGTGGTAGTGGTGATTGTCTATGGTAATGTTTGTGATGATTATGATAATGATGGTGGTAGTCATGGTGATCGTAGATGGTTATGGTAGCCTTGTGATGATTGTGATAAGGCTTTAAAAAAAAAGATGTTGTATTGCCCTTTGCGACCGACCCAAAAAATTATTAAATCGACGATCAGCTTTATAATTTATTTTTTTTTACCATTTTTTAGAAAAACAAAAGTGAGAAATATCAGCCCAAAGAAAGAGCTAAAAAAAAAAAGTTTAAAAAAAAGTTTAAAAAAAAAAAAAAAACTGGCCGACCGACCAATGTTTTGGCACCTAAAGGGCCATACAACATATTTTTTTTTTTAGGCCTAATGGTGGTAGTGCATGGTTGGTATTAGTGGTAGTTGTGGTAGTGGTGAGTGTGGTAGTGGTATTGTGATGGTATTAGATCATGACCATCCAATGGTAGATGGGGGTTGAGCCTGGGGGGGGGGGGGGGGGGGGAGCCACAAACTGGTCTGAGACCTCTTTTGAAAACCAATGGACGAACCTTGAGTATACAACACAAGAAAAATGCCCCTATTGATATCATCATGTTTCAGCATCCCCTCCTTACATAATCCTAGATCTGACCCTGATGATGTAGTGATGATGATGGTGATAGAAATTGATTATGGTTACCGTGGCGATTATATTGATAATGGCAAATGAAAGTTCATGGTGGTGAAGATGGTGGTATTTTTATAGAGGAAGAGGGGGAGGGGCCAGTCTAACAGTGAAGTAACATGAGATACTCTGGATTAATTGTGTATAGGAGATGGTGCACACAATGTATTCTTTCTTGGAGTAAGAATACTGAAAAAATTAACAGGAGTTATGCTTGTAAACTATTCAATTGCAAGGAGGCGAGTTAGCTATGTCGGTGAAACGTTTGCCTGTCGTCTGTTGGCGGATGACTGAAGCCTGCGTTGTGTGTTAACGTGCCCCTCCCCTGTTCCATAGGCTTTGTTAAGTGGAAAACACTCTGTCCCTTGGATAGGACGTTAAATGGAGACCCTGTGTAGAAGAGAGTCACCACCTTTGCACGTTAAGATTAAGAACCCACTGCACTATTCATATAAGAGTAAGGGGAAGCCCGAGTGTACTCCACCTGCACACCCCCAATCAGTTATACCTGGAGGAGAGACCCGAGGGTTACATTGATTCAGTTTGCTTTTCACCTCCCAGACACAGGTGATGCCAATACCATTAATAATGATAATAAATCATTAGCATGTTTGGTCATGTCGTCAAACAATCAATAATGGATTGATCATGTAAGTGATTAAGCTAATACCGGTAATCATAAAAGACTAAACTACCAAAGTACCAATATTTGTTTGTAATTGCAGATCATAATGTTGCCTTGCTACCGCAATTTCCTCTTCAATCAAAACACTCTAGGTTTTCCCAGGAGTTAGACTGATCACAATACTTACTTAAGATTATTTGAAGCCCCACTGCGCTAGTTTTGCCAGGAGGGATTAGACCTCCCTTCATGGTCACTGACAGGTGGTTATCTCATCAAATAAGCTCTCAATTAACATAAGAAAAAAGGGGATCATGGGGGACCAATGGTCACGGATTAGGCATTGTTTGCTATATAGAGGGTGCAAGTAGCTATAATTAGTGCAGTGGGGCTTTAAAGTTTTCATCTTTTCATCTTAATTGGCTCTGGATCAAGTGATATGATACTCATCTTTGAATTTCGAATATTGTGCATGTGTGTGTAATTGGGTTTTTACAGATGTGTCAATCAGATATGATTATTTACTTATGGAAGGTTTGTTTGTCTTATTCCAAGGTCAACCAAACATTTTCATCAATTTAGTGAAAGACCATTTAGCCTGGGAGCCAGGCTAACCATGTTTAATAGGGAGCCAGGCTAACGTGTTTAATAGGTCTTTGACCCTTTTTATCTCAAAGCGGCTACGTGTGATTTGAAACTTCTTTTTTATTGGAATACTTGGCTGTTATAAAAATAAACTAAATATTCATAAATATGTGTGTTATGAAAGAAAGATAAATAAAACTTGAACTTGAACTTGAATTTGATATAAAACAATTTCAGTCAAAAGAGATATTCTGGCACCTTGTTGACTAACTTTATGGGTACCGGTATTCAGGCACACCACTGCCTAAAATCATACTGTTTCTAAATGTTGCGAGCGAGCAAAGCAAGTGAGGAAAAAAGACACTAAAATTGTCTCTAAAATGTTATTTCTTCATGAAAATACACAGTGGTTACCAATATTTTTGTTTTCCTGAAATTGATGTTTATGTCACAGTGGTTCCAAAAATAAATGTTGAATTAATTTCTCTTGCAGCACCTCTAGAAATGTCCTGCCTCACATATACATACATAAATATTTATTTTTTTGAGGAGGGGGGGGGGGGGGGGGGAGGGAGGAGGAGGATTGCCAATCCCCTCTTTAGAACTGCTACTAATACTCCAGCCCTGTTTATTTTTCTTAGCTTTGAAACTTGAAGCGATTGACTTTTCGATTTTGTCTATTACTTTGTATCAACACATTGAGCTAGAATGTTTTCTCTTCATGGTTTTTCCTTCTTCCTATTCACATTTCAGTGCTTAACAACCACAAACCAACGCTTTTAAAGTTCAAACCTATCACAGCTTTGATCAAAGAAGATAGGGGCACAGGTATGTGTCCACAATATCTGATAAGCATATCAAACAAGACGAAAAGGAAACTGATTAAACATAAAGTGCTTCTCAAATTTTCCAATGGGAAGGGAGGGGCATGTCACATGTAGGCCTCTGTTCAAAATATTTGACGAGGAAAAGAATGAAAAGGCACAATAGAAATTGTGAGTACCTTTTAGTGTTGCTTGTCAAAATAATTTTAGAGTGGAGATTTTGCTTACAGGTGCCTTGGGGGAACCCCTCTAAAATTTTCTGAGTAGCGGCCATAATGAATGTTACCATAATGTTTCTTAAAATCCTCTTTGAAATTGATGCATGCACATGTGCAGTTAGTGAGTAGACAATGCCATGCATTCTGACTACCAGTAAGTTGATTGAGTTCAACAGTTCAACAGGCAGAATTATGTGATTTTTAATTATTATCGTAACCTTGCCAAACTGTATTTGTTTGATACAAAGGATGTGAGGCTGTTTTTTGTAAAATATCAGTTGTGGAAGGGAATTTCCCTTTGAGTCCCTTCTTTGTGCCAGAATGTTTCCTGGCATTTTGCCAGATATTATGAGATCATGTTTCAAGAGACCTCCACCCCCTCCACCCCCCTCCCCCACCTCCCAGGAAAATGTTACTCCCTAGAGCTTTTTATGTGCAGTGACCTAATTCAGAAAAAACGTCACTTACAAAAATATAGGCTATTGCTACCCTGGCAAAAAAATAATGGTCATGATATTTTTAATTGAAGAGGTATTGAAGGAACTTAAAACATTTTTTTTTTTTTTTTTTTTTTTTTGGAGAGGGGGGGGGGGGGGGGGGCTAGATGTCATAATATTCATCTATAGTACCTGTATCACTAAGAAAGTTGATACAAACATTAAGGAAAATACTTTTTTTTCCTGAAGGAAATACATTGTCCCACCAAGTTTATTTACAGAATATACCAAAATCAATGAATTGTGAAATTGGATAATTGGATAATTGGAAATTGGATAATTTCAGTAACTGCAATTGACATTAATCTTTTTTTTCCAATTATACACATTTTGGGCCCAGGCTTGTTAAAAATGTCTGTAGACAAGAATAACATATTTTGTACAAAAGATTTGAAGCATAGCTCACAAAGGAAATCATAAAGAAATCATAAAGTTGCCCAAAAGAGAAGTGTACTTCTCCTTTTTCCTTGTTTACATTAAGGCTCCGTGAATCTTTAACTCATTATCAACTAAAACAATTGTACTGGGGCTATGTATTACCGCATGCTCTTTATTGCTGCACTGTATGGTCTAGTCGATTTAAATATAATGTCGATATGCTAAATAAACTTCATAAAAGAGCAGCTTATATTATTTCTAGACAGTCTTGGCACATTCCATTGCGACAGGTCTTGGATGGCCTAAAATGGCCAACTCTAAATGAATTGTTTGATAAGGCCACTTGTTGTCTGGTTTTTAAATGTATTAATAATTTAGCACCTCCAGCTATGTCGGATAAATTTGTACTACTAGATGATGTTATGCAACGCACAACTCGAAATAGTAATAAGAATCTGTTAAAACCTTTTAAGTGCAATACTGAATTTTATGCTAACACTTTCGTGAATTATGGCGTTAAAGTGTGGAACAAACTTACAGTGGAAGCCCGACTTTGTTTAACTCTTAATGTATTTAAACGCATGATATCAAAGAAGTAACATGTTTTTAAATTTTCTTAATCTCGTTTTAAATTTGTATCTACTAAATTGGATCTGGGAGAATTATAGGTTCTCTGTCATTTTTATCATGAATCCTCTATCTTGCTGAACATTGTAAAATCTGACCTTTCTTGCCCGTTTACAATATTATATGAGCTGTGTCTCACTTCCTGTTTTTTTAATACAAAGGTCATTTTAACTTCTTATATTGTATCATTATTTACCTTTAATATGGTCTCACCTTTACTATATCTATTGTTGTCGTATTTGATTTTATACTCTATTTTTTCTCTTACTTTATTAAATATGTAAACATTTTGCATATCTATTATTGTATTTGTATTTTTACAAAGCAAGGCAACATGAAAGATCAGGGTTTTTTTTTATATCGTAAATTATTTCATATTGTTAGTTTTACTTGTTTATCATTGTGCTTTGATGTCAATATGCTTTATGTATTCAATTTGTTGTCTTTTTCTTCCTACTGTTATATGTATGATTTTGTTTTGAGAAATTGTATATATGTGTATTTTAATTGAGACAGGGCCTTATGGAAGACCAGTTTTTAATCTGAATGAGATACCCTGTATAAATATGTGAAATAAATAAATAAATGTTTGATGTTGATTTTCTTTGTATAAGTATTGTTGATCTTTTTATGTATTTCAATTTGGTGGCCCCTTTTTATAAGTCCTGCTTTCTCCGGGGTTACCAAACCATCACTGTGTTCTTCTAAATTTTTGTTGTAACTTGTTTTGATTGTATATTTATTTTGATGGTTGTACTATTAAATAAATTTAATTGAATTGAATATGTACAGTGATCGTATGAATATTAAAAACTCTTGTAACCTTCTCTTTCTAAGGCAGACTTTTCTCTCACTGTCACTGACCTTTTTTCTTCACATTTTTTAAAATTAACTTGGCGTCAGGTCAAAAACCTCCTTTGAACTATGATAGAAAATAAGTCTAGAGTCTTCTTCTTCTTCTTCTTCTTCAAGATAATCTGCCTCCTTCAATACTGAAGATTCTTGCAGATGCCGTATACTCGGCCTGATTGGGGTGTGCAGGTGGACCATTACACCGGGGTTTCCCCCTTCTCTTATACGAATAGTGCAATGGGTTCTTAACGTGCAAGGGTGGTGACTCTCCTGTACACGGGGCCTCCATTTAACGTCCTATCCGAGGGACGGAGTGTTTTCCACTTGACATAACCTGCGTCTATGAACAAGGGAAGGCGCACGTTAACACACAACGCAGACTTCAGTCATCCGCCTGGATGGGAGTCGAACCCGGGATCTTTGGTTCGACAGGCAGACGCTTTACCGACTGAGCCAACTCGCCTCCTGTATCAATAATAGTGCTGTAACATCACAGATATCTCCAATTCTGTTTAACCGCCAGTCAAAACCGGACGGTTTTCGGTTAAACGATTAAAAAAAAAAAAAAAAAAAAAAACTCTCTGTCGGCAGCAAGCCAGGTCCGTGTGAAAAAGCAGGAAGGACTTTCATTTAACTGCGAGGTGCATTTGAAGGCGTCGATTTGTGCTTGTGAACTTGTCAAAAATAATAGTAACAATGTCGTTTTTAGAAGAATGTGTAAGATCATTAATGTAAATTAAAAACAGTAGATCAATACACGATTAGCCATAGATTTACGCTCAATATCAACCTTATATGATCAATCAAAATTAAGGCTTTGTAATACATGACCAAGTATCACATATACGACCCCCTCTCCATATAGAGGTAGCACCCCCAATGTATGATTTATCTATGATCAATGTCTGCTTGATCAATCAAAATTAAGGCTTTGTAATACATGACCAAGTATCACATATACGACCCCTCTCCATATAGAGGTAGCACCCCCAAGGTATGATTTATCTATGATCAATGTCTGCTTAATCAATCAAAATTAAAGATAAACTTTAGTACTGGTAATGCGATTGAATTGTAAAAGAAAATGTGTGGAAAGGATCAGAAACAGTTGATCATGTAGCATGTAAGTATTGGTGTGCACTGCAAGGTTCTGGAGTCATCAAAATCATAATAAATTTGACAGAGTCTTGGTAAAGTAACAAGCACTCACATAGAAAGCTATATATGGGACAACACACATGGTGTCGGGGCTATGTATACCTTGATTTCCTTGTCTTTCTATGCTCATTACTCAGCCAGTATACATTTTCTTCCAAAATTGTTTGGCACATGTCATTTATTTGTAATCTTGAACATTCAGTGTAAGTTTCGTTTGATTCTGTGAGAATTTTTTTTATTTTTTTTTTTATCAGTACTGGAGTTTATCTTTAAGGCTTTGTAATACATGACCAAGTATTACATAAACGACCCCTCTCCATATAGAGGTAGCACCCCCAATGTATGATTTATCTATGATCAATGTCTGCTTGATCAATCAAAATTAAGGCTTTGTAATACATGACCAAGTATCACATAAACGACCCCTCTCCATATAGAGGTATCACCCCCAATGTATGATTTATCTATGATCAATGTCTGCTTAATCAATCAAAATTAAGGCTTTGTAATACATGACCAAGTATCACATAAACGACCCCTCTCCTTATAGAGGTAGCACCCCCAATGTATGATTTATCTATGATCAATGTCTGCTTAATCAATCAAAATTAAGGCTTTGTAATACATGACCAAGTATCACATAAACGACCCCTCTCCAAATAGAGGTAGCACCCCCAATGTATGATTTATCTATGATCAATGTCTGCTTGATCGATCAAAATTAAGGCTTTGTAATACATGACCAAGTATCACATAAACGACCCCTCTCCAAATAGAGGTAGCACCCCCAATGTATGATTTATCTATGATCAATGTCTGCTTGATCAATCAAAATTAAGGCTTTGTAATACATGACGAAGTATCACATAAACGACCCCTCTCCATATAGAGGTAGCACCCCCAATGTATGATTTATCTATGATCAATGTCTGCTTGATCAATCAAAATTAAGGCTTTGTAATACATGACCAAGTATCACATATACGACCCCTCTCCATATAGAGGTAGCACCCCCAATGTATGATTTATCTATGATCAATGTCTGCTTGATCAATCAAAATTAAAGATAAACTTTAGTACTGGTAATGCGATTGAATTGTGAAAGAAAATGTGTGGAAAGGATCAAAAACAGTTGATCATGTAGCATGTAAGTATTGGTGTGCACTGCAAGGTTCTGGAGTCGTCAAAATCATGATAAATTTGACCGAGTCTTGGTAAAGTAACAAGCACTCACATAGAAAGCTATATATGGGACAACACACATGGTGTCGGGGCTATGTATACCTTGATTTCCTTGTCTTTCTATGCTCATTACTCAGCCAGTATACATTTTCTTCCAAAATTGTTTGGCACATGTCATTTATTTGTAATCTTGAACATTCAGTGTAAGTTTCGTTTGATTCTGTGAGAATTTTTTTTTTTTTTTACCTACTGGAGTTTATCTTTAAGGCTTTGTAATACATGACCAAGTATCACATAAACGACCCCTCTCCATATAGAGGTAGCACCCCCAATGTATGAATTATCTATGATCAATGCCTGCTTTTGTATTTTTCATTTACCAGCCCAGAAGCCCCGGCAGAATAAGTAAAAGCAGGCCAAGTATCACAAGTACATAATTGTACGACCCATCTTCACATAGAGGGAGCACCCCTCGGTGTAAGGATTATCTATGATCAATGACTGCTTTTGTATTTTTCATTTACTAGCCCAGAATTTAAGCCCAGTATGTCATACAAGGACCCGATGGGATCGGTAGCCTGTACAAGAAAGTCGTCTATCGTGTATCATGTGTACAAGTACATAATTATACGACCCCTCTCCACATAGATAGAGGGAGCACCCCCGGTGTATGGATTAATTATCTATGATCAATTAACGCTTTTGTATTTTTCATTTCCTAGTCCAGAAGCCCAGTATGTCATACAGGGCCCCGGCAGGATCGGTAGCCTGTACAAGAAGGCCGTCTATCGCGAGTACACCGACGACTCGTACACCACGTTGTCGGACCGTCCGGAGTGGATGGGATTCCTGGGACCGATCATCTATGGAGAGGTCGGGGACACAATCAAGATACACGCCAAGAACATGGCATCCAGGGATTTCAGCATGCATCCTCATGGTGTCTTCTATCTCAAAGATTCCGAAGGTGAGGAATGTCAGTTATCTTGAGAGATCAAGCGTTCAGACTTGTACTTACTACTAATTCTGTCTGGGATCTGGGCTAGTAAAGCAAAAAGATCTATCATTTTTATCTTTTGTTTTTTTCAATTCAAGTTCAAGTTCACTTCATGCAATACTGTTGAAATGAAAGGAGAGTGGAGAAGGAAGAGAGAAAGATAGAAACAGAGAGAGAGAGAGAGAGAAAAGAGAGAGGATAGAGAGGGAAAAGAGAGGGTGAAAGAAAAAAAGAAAGTTATAGAGAGAAAGAGAGAGCTGCATTCAAGAGAATATTGAAAACCTGTTCTGACACAATTGCAAGAAAGTAATGAAAGAAATTAAAATGTAACTCGCCTACATCTTCTTACCCTGGCAGGTGCCGTGTACGAAGACAACACCAGAGGCAAGGACAAAGCAGATGAGCGCATCGCACCAGGGGGCAGCCACACTTATATATGGGAGGCGAACGAGAGGGCGGGGCCGGCAGAGGGAGGGCCCAACTGTGTCCCGTGGATCTACCATTCACACATCGACGCCCCGTATGGGACGAATACAGGCGCTATCGGTTTCATGCTCATTTGTAAGACAGGTAAAATGAGAAGAAAATTTGCACTCTGGCCCATAAAGTTTGAATAATTTGCCATTTTCGTGAGATGGTTGCGACGATATGCATTATTCTTCTCAGAATTGAATTGATCAATCTATATATTGTCATAGACTTACTTACTGCCCATTATGCCTCCTAGCACATAGGGCAGCAACAAAAGTCTTCGACTCCTTCCGATCCTGGGCCAGTCTTTGGATTGTATCCCATTCCCCTTCCACAGTTCTTCACCAAGTGTTTTTAGGACGTCCGCTCTTTCTTTTGCTTTCTGGTTGTTTGTGTCATGTCATCTATGTTCTTTCTCATTACATGTCTGATCCATCTCCACCTTCTTCTAATGATGTCATAGTGCCATAGAGATTGATCATTTATAGGTTCTGAGGAGATTTAGACTTTATATCTATCCAGAATAAATCATATTGTATATCATATATTTACTCCACTTTTGGGAATGGTTGTGATGCCAATATTGAAGTGCTTCGTACTTCTTAATTTCTCCTGAATTTCTCCTGAATTTCTCCTCAGAACTGGTCAATATTTGGGCATCCCTAATATTTGCACTGTCCTACACCAGTAAGACCTGTTCAAATTTATTGTTCTTTTATTATTGTTGAAAAAAATTAGATCATGAAAGACTTACTCAATTTGAGATGGAGTCTTGGACAACTAATAGACTCTAAGGGCAGGTCAACTATTATAAGAGAGGAATAGCAGATTAAAAAAAAAACCTCTTAATTTTAAAGTTAAAGATTAATTTTTGTGATGCAATAAGCACTTTAATAGTTTCAGAATCATCAAATTGACAAGAATTTGACTTGATCTACAAGAAAAGCACAGTCACTGCAAACATAAATGGGTGTATGGGACTACACATACATTTTGCAGAATTGTTTGGTCCTAACCAACTCTCCACCATTACTTGTTATATTTTGAATATGTGGGCCTTTGAAGAGCATTTCTTTTCAGGGTATAGTTCTATTGTGACTCTCTTCCAAATCTGACTGAAAATGGATGAGAAATCTACTTTTTTTAAATGCAGAAAAAAAAATCCACCCTAAGCAGAACTCATCCATTTCTTCAAGTTGTGTAAGAACTACAAACACGTATCTTACTCTTACAGTCAAGCAAATATTTTTCTTATGAAAGAATACTTTAGAGTCTATGTTGACTTAACAGATTGAAAGAACGATATACCAGTGTGTGTTTCATTCAACAAATTCAGATCTCAATTCAAAGTTCACATTGAGCTCTGCAATGCAGTGATAAGAATTTCATTGCTATGTAACAATTACAAGAATGAATTCCTATGAACCCCCCAAAAGGGCATGTTTATTTAAATGAATACTACCACACCTGGTTAATTGTCCTGCATTGTGCACTGTAGACAGATAAGAAATCAACTCCAATTTTGGAAATGGTTGTGATGCCAATATTGAAGTATTTCATAATTCTTATTTTCTCCTCATAACTGGTCAATATTTGGGTCCCCCTCCCCCAGTATGAGCTGTGCAAATTTGCTGAACGTTGTGAAAGCCACCACTCTACAATTTTCTTTCTGTGAGATTCTATTCTTTTCTACTATTCTTTAATAATATTAAGCAAAATGCATCAAAAGAGGAGGCTGCCAATGTTCTCAATTGCTCATCTTCAGTGCCTGATTTTGTAATGTGCATATCGTCGGCCTTATGCCAAAAGGGCCTTAACCCGATTTTGGGGGTTATTGAGTTATTAACATCACCTTGTAGATTTCATCATTCTCTTTAAAATGATGTGCTTTACTTGTTAAAATTCGATTTATTTATGAAGATAATTATGAATTTCAAAAGGGCCTTAACGCGTATCTCATCTTTTTCCTTACGCCAAAAGGGCCTTAACCTACACGGATGATCCATTTGCGTTAGGAGGGCCTTTCTGGCAAACCAAAGGTGTTGCGAAACAAGAAAATTTCCTTATGCCAAAAGGGCGCTAACTATGCGCGCGTACACGCGCATAGTTACGCGTACGATAACGGCAGGTTAAGGCCCTTTTGGCATAACGCCGCGTAGGTTACGCCCCTTTTGTCATAATGCCGAGTAGGTTACGGCCCTTCTGGCATAAGTACGCTACATTCAAGCCTTATGCCAAAAAGGCCCTAACATGTTTTTTGCACATAGCATGTACAATATTTTATAACAAATTTAACACATTTCATGTAAAACTTAATAACTTAACACATTTATCGAAATTGGCTTCAAAAGCAAAAAAACGACCACAAAATTTTGATTATTAGAGAGGCCAAAACCTTTAAACGCGATTATCTCGGAATGGCCAAAAGCAGTTAAGGCCCTTTTGGCATAAGGCCGACGATATAGTCGAGAATGAATTATTCAGAGATGCCAACCAGTACGATTAAAACGTATTTAGTACGATAATAAGAGTGAAATACGATCTTAAATTTTTTTTTAATATTTTTTTAAAACCCATAAAAACAATGGAATTGCATAGAAACATTTACAAGTAAACCTCTGCAACCCCAACAAAAAATTTGCTTTACAATTTTCTCATTAAATTTTAATGATAGAGCAAACATTTTTCAGAAATTTTACTGGCCTGGGGTAGAGTCGAGTTTTCGTGAAATCGTGATTTTTCTCTCCAAAATCTGATTTTTTTTTTTGTGGATACTCAGTCTGTTTTTTTTGTGTCAAGAGGTTGGCATCTCTGATTATTGAAACTTTTGCTAATTTACAAACTTGATCCTCAAAAAGAAATATTCTGCTTGGTGCTAGTTTTCTTTGTCGTCATTAATCCACATTGTAGCAAGTTGTTATGGGGAACAAGTGCACCATATTGTGCTAATGCCCCCCATTAATCTTGAGGATATCAGTTATAAGAGCTTTGAAATCTAATTGAGGAAATCATGAGTCCCAATTTAGTCTTCAACCAGCTATATCGCACCAATATAAATTTTTTTCATCATTCCAAAGAAATTAACATATATATATATATATATATATAACACCTGATACATTTAAAATGTTTCTAACACTCTATGCATATATTAAAGGTGCATTTAATAGTCTTCAATCAGCTAATTGCACCAATATAAAACATTTTCACCATTCTTACGAAATTAGCAACTCTCTGTAAGTCTGTATTACCTTTTTATTCTGAATTGAATTCATATAACACCTAATACATTTGAAATGTTTCAAACACTTTATGAATATAAATTGAAGGTGTTTTTAATGATGTTCTTTCTGGTGAAGTAACACCATGTCAAGTTGTTAAATAATGTATTCTTGTATCACTCGACCAAACACAGTATTGATATCACACAGAGAGTGACATAACTTGGCATTACTTTAATACGTGACTCTGACTCCCAACCCTATCCAAAGTTTAGTCGGTCCTTTGTTCGAGTGAACTTTTCACACACAGAAAACATTTAACTTGTTTATTTATCATCAAATAGAATACCTTGACATGCTTAACTTCTATTCATGAATCGGTTCTAATTTTTCTCGGGTTTGGGGGATTTATTTGCTTTTCAATAGAAATTAACTGGCTGATTGAAACGTGTCTGTTGAAATGTACAGTGCGTATTGAAAAAAAGAGTACCCAACTTTGGTAGCTCCTAATTAAAAAGTTATAACCAATATGACTTTGAAATCTATTTCAAGATGGAAAGTAACTTGTATGAGACCCCATTCATATTATTTCTGCCACGGGTGACTATGAGCACCAGCACAATTTTGAATATGTCATTAGACAGGGTATTAGTTATCCTTCACCATGAAGTATGATTCAAGTTCGTATAGGCCATATATTTTTAATTAGAAGCTACCAAAGTTGAGTACCGGTAGACTATTTTTTTTATGCACTGTATACCATATTTTGAGACATATACTTATTTTAAATCATGAAGTACATCAGAATAATCAAGTACAAAGGAATCCACTCAGTCTCGCTGAAAAGCATACGGTATGCATTGCCCGCGAAAAAATGGCTATATGGGACTACACATACATTTGGCTTGACTGTTTGGTCCAAACAACTTGCCATTTCTTGTTAAATTTTGAGTATGAGAGCCTTTGAAGAGCATTTCTTTTCAGGGGACTCATTTCCATTTTCTTCTCTCAAACTCTGCCCTTATACTGAACTCGTGCTGAAATCAACTGATTGCTCTCAAATAAGCAGCATAGTCTAATTGCATAAAAGGAGACAAAAAAAAAGGATGTCTTGACTAGATCTAGTTTTGAGTTGCACTGGTTTTACTTTAAAGAAGAAACCAAATTTAAACAGATCAGAACATAAGTCGCATCATAAATATAGAACCAACCAGAAGAAAGCTGAAAACGGAATTTATACGTGGAAGCGATTTTGTAGAGGAAAAAAAATTGTTCATTGCCTCTTTTGTTCTCATTTTTGGGCAAAAAGGTTTGAAAAACTGATGTGGAAAGGGGACTTTGCCCTTTTCAATATGTATTCCTTGAATTCCTTGAAAGCTCTGAGCGCCAAAATCGGCTGCCTTGCAGAGTGTGGGTAATAGTTGGAGTGCCTTGAGTACCATGCATGGTGGATATGTGCGCTATGTACATGTAAATATCCAATTATTATATTCTGTATTTTTTCTTTCAATTACGGGTTATGGAATCAATGGAAGAACTTGCGTGGAAAAAAAGTAAATTATCTCCTTTTTTTCAGATTTGATGAACTGAAGTACATATATGGCTTATGTACTAATAGTATTCTGTATTTTTCCTTTCAATTCCTGGGTTTGAAATCAATAGAAAGAACTTAAGTGGAAGAATTTTTAAAATCTCTTTCTTCAGATTTGAATAACTGATGTGAAAAGAGGAATTTGCCCTTACATTACCCCTTTTTAGTACATAATGTGGGTCGGATCACGGGTGGCCAACCCGCGAGCTCTTTTGGTGCAGCCAGTGGAGCATTGAAAAGTAATTATAAAAATAGCTCATGAATGAAATGCGGCCCGCATAGCAGTGATGAAATAGGGTAAAAAATTTACACACAGCTATCTCTATTTCCATAATTTGTTTTCATCATTCACAACATATTGACTCGTTACGTGGTTGATACAAAACTCCTCAAATTTCGTCGCATTATATTACATTAATATCACTCGCCGTGTTAAGTTCAGTTTGTAATTTCCGCACGCGGTGACGTTTGTAGAAATATAAATGTTGTGAATCAAGAAATATGTTTGAAATGCCATACTTTTCTTGAAACTGACAAGCCTTTTCTCCTGTGCCGTTGAATTTTCTCATGAATCTTAATCGTAAACTGGATAGTCCCCTTCCCTTTACACCGCGTTCAATGAGATGTTCAGTGTACAACTAATAAAGTTAGGATATTCTTTCTGCTGTGTCCTTGATTTTGTTTGAAATAACAACCAACATGGTGTAGACTTCGAGACCTGCGAAGAAAAGGAATTTGGACTCTGGACTCTATCCTGATATTCTCACTTTTGAATACATGTCGGGGTTATATATTATTTTAGATAGTATTCTTTTTTCCCTTTTCAATCCCTGGGTGAATGATTTCTGGATGAACGCGGCTGAATGATTTTTATCTCCTATTTTTTTTGTTATAGACTAGAGCGGCATGCATTCCTTTGTTCTTTTTGTGCCCATTTTGTGAGCAAAACCATTGAAAAACTGACATATAATGTGATATATGACCTTGCACTCAATTTTGCAGTAAAAAAAGAGAGTGCAGGGTACTATCTATGAAAACATAATAGGATAAGGCCTTTAAAAAAGGGTTGTATTGCCCTTTAGGTTGCAGCACCTGGTTCTCTCTTTGGGCTGATATTTTTCAATTTCGAATGCTTTAAAGCCCCACTGTACTACTTGTAGCTACTTGCTCCCTCTATATAGAAAAGAATGCCTAATCGGTGACCATTGGTCCCCCAGGATCCTCTTTCACTTATGTTAATTCAGAGCTGAGTTGATGAGATAGCCACCTGTCAGTGACCACCCTGGGTGGTCTAATCCCTCCTAACCAAGCAAGTACAGATGGCCTTTAACACATTTTTTTTTTTATTCATTAAACTTTTTTTTCTAAAAAACTTTTCAAAAAATAATAATTAAAAAAAAAAACCCCATAGATTTCACATTTTAAGCATTCAAGGAATGTCTTCCTACTGGGTACCCATTTACCTCACCTGGGTGAGGTGGGGCAAATGTAGATTAATGCCTTGCCAAAGGACATTATGCAAACAGGAATATAGGCTGTAATCTTCATCAGACATTTATTTAAGTCTCATTTCTTGTGTATTTAAACAGAGCTTTCCCCTCTTGTTTCATTGATAAACAAGATTGTAAAGGCCTGTTTTCATCAGAACGAAGTTGCAAATAACCCACTATTTTAACTAGCCCGATCTCGAATTGGCCAGCTAATTTGCGTCTTCATCAGCCCGCAGTTGCAATTAGCAGGCTATTTGGTTGAGATAATATCCCAAGAAATCGTGGTCTTGTTTCCAAAATAGCCAGTTATTTGGGAAAAAGTGGGCTAATTTGCGCCTGTCAGAGCTAGTTTGTGATGAGTGTATCGGTCTGGTGAAAACCCAATTTCGAGCTTCAGGAAAATATCCCGAGTCTGAAAATGGCCCGAGTCTGAAAATGGCGGGTTATTTTGCAACTTCGGTCAGGTTAATATCAAAACTTGAACATTTTTTTTTTCATTCACCATTTTCTTCTTCTCAATTTCCAGGAATTTGAATGAAAACAATCGAAGGACCGATGTGGCTGAGGACTTCATCCTCATGTTTACTGTGACCGATGAGAATATGAGCTATTATATCGATGACAATATCGAAAGGTTTGCCGCAGATTCAGACCCAGGTTTGTACAATCAGGCCTGATAATTACCAGATTTAAATTTTATTTTTTCCTATTTTCCCCTATTTTTCTCCTATTTTTTCCCAATTTTCTTACTCAAAAGGGAGGAATGTTGTTAGATGCCATTTTTTTTCTTTCCTGAATCCTTTTTATTTTTTTTAATCAAGGAGGGGGGGGGGGGGGGGGGTTTGGTTGAGGAAAAAAAACTTTTTAATTTTTAGTTCTCACTATCACCCCTGACAATTGACCCTACTGCAAATATGACGTTCAACAGTAAATTGCGACCTTCCTCCCATAATGCGCAGGCCAGCACATGTGCAGATGCAATATTCGGGAAGACAATACAGACAAGGTTTCTTCCGGCTTCCATAGAGATTGTATAGCAGTGTCGACTAATTCCTTATTTTAGTAAGCTATTGTTCAGGTAAAATTATTTTGAATTAACAAAAAAGAAGAAGCTTGTGGAAAGTTGTAAATTTCTTTAGACCAGTTCTAAAAATAGAAAGTGAAACGAGAAAACCACTTAAGAACTCTTATGGATGTAAGTGAGAGAGAGATAGAGGATGCAAGACGAGAGGGAGAAAGAGAATATGTGAAATGTTTATCCTTTGGTAACTTGTAATGATATGAATCTCTCTTTTTTTTCCTTTGCTACCATTCCACTGACCACTCATATACTACACCTCCACTACCCCATTCAATCCCTCTGCCACTCCCTAAATTACCCTCACCACTCCTCTATTACCTCTCCACCACTGTTCCTTTACCCCATATTACCTATCCGCTAATATTACCTCCACCACCTTTATCTCTCTTACCCCTGAACCACAACTGTACACCTACTAACTCCTATGTTACCCCTCCCCTGCTCCTTTTTTTACCCCAACCTCTCCTATATTGCCCCTCCACCTTTCTTATATTACCCCTCAACCATTCCTACATTACCCCTCTACCATACCTGTATTACATCTGAACCAATACTCTATTACCCCTCTGTCACTCATGTATTACCCCTCAAATGCTCCTACATTACCCCGCCATCATCGCTACATTACCCCGCCATCATCGCTACATTACCCCTCCACCACTCCTATACCCTTCTACCCCTTCTCTACCACTCCTCCACCACTCCTATACCCTTCTAACCCATCTCTACCACCCCTCCACCACTCCTATACCCTTCTACCCCATCCCTACCACCCCTCCACCACTCCTATATCCGTCTACCCCATCTCTACCACCCCTCCACCACTCCTATACCCCTTCTACCCCATCTCTACCACCACTCCCCTTGATCTATGTTTACCCCTCCACCACTTCTATACCCTTCTACCCCATCTCTACCACCCCTCCAACACTCCTATATCCTTCTACCCCATCTCTACCACCCCTCCACCACTCCCCTTGATCCATATTTACCCCTCCACCTCCACCGTGACCTAAATGCCGAACAGAGGATGAGGATTTCTTGGAGAGTAACAGGATGGACAGCGTGAATGGCTATCTGTACGGAGCTCTGCCAGGATTGGAGATCTGTCAATCAGATAAGGTGGCCTGGCACATCATGGGCATCGGAACGGAGATCGACGTCCACACAGTCAACTTCCATGGCAACGTACTGGTAAGGGAGGTGGTCAAAATGAAGAAGTCAAAACAGTATGGAGTGTTTAGGAAATGAAGATCATTACATGAATTGGAGGGCATAAGAGGAAGCAAGAGGGAGAGAGAGAGAAAGAGAGAGTGATAAAGAGAGAGAGAGAGAGAGAGCGATATAGGGAGAGAAAGAGAAAGATATAGAGATAGAGATGGAGAGAGAGGGGGAGAGAGAGACGGAGAGAGAGAGAGAGAGAGAGATAAAGATTGACAAAAGGGAGAGAAAGAGATGCAATGGAAAACTTTTTCATGATTTTCCTGTTCAATTGTATTTATTTATTTAACAAAGTGATAGGACTAATTTTGCAATTTGTAACACATTGAATATATACAGTAGGCTTGCGGGTGCCCCATGTGAGAGAGAGGGAGAAATGAATATAGTTTTAATTTTGTTTATTGGCATAATCTTGGTTATTGAATAATTTTTCCTGCTCAATTGTATTTATTTATTGTACAAAGTGATAGGACTAATTTGTAATTATTTACACATTGAATATTATAGTTATTATTTTTTTATTTAGATAATCTTGGTTATTGAATAATTTTCCTGTTCAATTGTATTTAATTATTACACAAATGATAGGACTAATGTGCAATTGTTTACACATCGAATATAGTTGTTATATTTTTATTTACATAATTTTGGTTATTTAATCATGTTCCTGTTCAATTGTATTTATCTATAGTACAAAGTGATAGGACTAATTTGCAATTGTTTACACTTTGAATACACTTGTTATTTGTTTAATTTACATACTCTTGGTTTAATATTTAGGAGCTACGCAACCACCGTGTGGATACTCTCAGCTTGACTCCGGCTGTAATATCATCAGCTGACATGGTGGCTATCAACCCCGGTACATGGCTTGCTAAATCTCATGTCGTCACTCACCAAACTGGTATGTATTATTTTTAAATTTAATTATCTAAGTATTATTTTGTGCAGGGTTGCCTCTTCAGTTAACAATCTGCTATCCCTCAGTGTATAGGCCCTGCACAATAAAAAGAATATGAATAAAATATTTACCCACTCAATAAGTTCATATTGAACGCATAATGAACATAAGAAGAAGCAAAGTTTATGAAAACAGAGATAAATAACACATGAAGAAATATTTTGAATACAATATTGCAAAGTGTGACTTATTATAAACATAAGTTATAAAAAAAACGCACAATTGATAAATTATTTAATTGTCCAAGTATCATCAGCATGTAATCAAAAGTTGATGAACGAGGTTCTGGTTTAAAAAGACAAAATATGAATAAAACTTCTTGAATATGGTCTTAGATAGTATTATTGTATTAAGAGAATATTTCTGGGCCTTAAAATAACAAATAAAGTAACTAAACATTTCTAACACAACATAGGAAATTTATGGAACACGCAAGGTGATACTGTACACTTCCGGAGTGATGAACATTATCAAAGAATCACCATCACAAAAAAAAAAAAAAAAGCTTTTTATTTCACTTCAAATAAGGTGTCCTCTTAGGACCACTAAAATCAGGTGGTACGTGATAAAGTTTTTTATCTGTCTACCAACCAGGATACACTGATCATCCTTGTAGGAAGTTCTGTCTTAGATAGTAACTGAACTTTGACTTCAAGGAATTACACAAACTCTTCAGGCTCAAAGTATTTTTTGTTTGTTTTACGAGGCACTTCCTGCGTTCTGCCAGCAGGAAGCGCATATTAAAAGAACACCTGGAACAGTAATCCCCAATCCCTGAGTAAATGTCCTCTCCTCCTCATACAGTGTTATGGTTGTGCACATTGCAAAATACATGATATTGAATATTTTTCAACCTTGATCGGCCTCGCTGATGCGACGATGAAGTTCATCCATTCAATCACTCAATGCAATAAACACCAATCAATCAATCACCATAGCACTGATAGAAAATCTATCTGATAAATTGATTCCGTTTGTTTTGGTTGTTTCATGATGCCATGAAGTTTATAAATTTGTGTTTAATCTTTATTCAATCTTGCTTCATTTGTAAAGACTTCTCGCCCCCATCGCGCCCACAGCCCGGCACACCCTGGGCATCTAGATGGTTAACTTGTGGAGGTAGTCACAGGAAATGCCTCTGAAGGCCGGATCTCCCACAAATGTTACTCGTTGGGCAACTTCTCAGACCTTCCTGTCTAGATGTTCCCATAGCAATGATAAAAAATCTATCTGATTGTTTCTGTTTGTTTTGGTTGTTTCATGTCACTCACTATTCAGTGCCATGAAGATTATGAATTTCTTTTAGAGATGATATTTCTTGAGACATTTGAAATTATGACTCCTCTTTTAAAGCAGGACTGTACTTGTAGCTGCTTGCACCCTCTACATAGCAAACAATGCCTACCGGTAATCTGTGACCATTGGTCTCCCATGGTCCTTTTTCTTATGTTAATTGAGAGCTGATTTGATGAGATATAACTACTGGTCAGTGACCATGCAGGGTGGTCTAATCCCTCCTGGCCAAACTAGTGCAGATAGGCTTTAATCAAATCAAATGCTCTCGTTTCATGAAGCTGGTTCCCAGGTTCTCTACACGGTCAACCCTGACTGTGGTCCAGGAGCGGATGAGGAACCCCTTGCAGGACAGACGAGGGACTACTTCATAGGCATCTCAGAGAGTGTGTGGCATTATGGCCCTGATGAAATAAACGGACTGGATGGAAGAGATTTGACTGATCCCGAAAGGTAAGACTCAATAGAAGAAAGAGAAAAAGAGTAGGAACAGGATTGAATGATGTGAATTGTTTGTCGCCCTCTGTAGTGCACTGTGTACCTGATGTGCAAACATTTTCTTGTAAAGAATCGTGATTGATTCAGTTAGTCAGGATTTTGGTAGGATTATAGTTTAAAAAATTAAATTAAGCTAACTAGATCTAGCTTTTATTCTCCCCCACCCTCTCTCTCTCTTATGGGGTGTTGCAACAAAGTTCAGTTGCGATCAATTGCGAATTTGCAACTAATCGCAAGATCAACCTACGCTTGATTTTGGGGATTTGCAATTCATTGCCACTTTCTTTCAACACCCCATTAGTCAGTTTCTGTTTCCAATTTCTAACCATTCCAGCGAGTCATTCCCCTTCTTCACCGACACCGCAAACCGCATCCCCGGAACCTACCTGAAGGCCAGGTACGTCCAGTACTCCGACGGCGACTTCACGCCCGACAAACTGATCGTGAGGACCGCAGATGACCACCACATGGGTGTCCTAGGCCGGTCATTCGGGGCGAGGTCGGGGATACCATCCGGGTGACGTTCAAGAACACCGGGCGTGTCCCGCACAGCATCCATCCCAGAGGCGTGCTTTATGATAAAGCCAATGAGGGTTCCAACTACGTGGACGGTACAGATGGTAAGTTCATACCTACCAACCCTTCCGAATAATCAAGAATATTCTGTTTTTCTGGATTTTTAAAAAAAAAATTCATTTTATTTATTTATTTATTTATTTATTTTTTTAATTTAATTATTTTATTTTTTTTTGCGTTGCTTAAGCCAAATTAAGCTTGTTTTATCATATGCCGTGATGTGCGTTGAAGGGCTTCATGATTGAACAGCGAATTTGTATTCGCTTTTTTGCACAGATTTACCGCGAATTGCCAGTTACACTGCCGCTGCATGTGCGAATTACGCCTGTTAAAGGGATCATGTAACTATGTTAAATCTGAGACACATGGCCCTACGTGTTATCAGTGTCTGTGATATGGTGTAATATTGAAGCCCTAAAAAAATTGCGCTTCAAAATGATCAAGAAGTGCCTCAAAAAAGTAAAAATCTTTGAGTGACCGGTTTTACCATACTCGTTTTCCCCAATAGACTGTAGTGTTATGAAAACCGTCAGGCTAACGGTTTTCAAAATTTGTAATTCCAATCATAAATATCTTGATAATCAGACAGGCGATCGGCTTGTAAAAGTCATGGGGTTCCTGACTGACCTAAAGGTTTATAATTATCATTGCATCATGAGCTAAATCCACAATTTTGTTTCAGAATCTGAGACAAAGTTACCGGATCCCTTTAAGGGTACAGATTTCTTATTTTTGAAGACATACCGTGCTAAAAATTCTTTATTCTCATTTTCAAATGTTGGCAGGTATGTAAGTTGGGAGACAGGAAAGTTCATCGTTATATAATGCATACAGTTAACAATTGAATTATTCATACCCTTACCAGGGGGGTGTTTCACAAAGATCCTTAGTTGACCTTAACTCTAAGTTGGACTTAACTATTATGGAGAGCCATTTGCAGCCTAAAAATTAAATATATTCAAAAGCGAAAATCAGGTATTTTAGATTTTTTTATAAATTGCACATCAAGAACATGAAATCTCCTTGATAATAGAAAATATGAAAGATTTGAATCAACATTTTATGCCTTTTAAAATAACTTTTGCAAAATATTTTCACAGATGCTAACGGCTTTCCATAATTGTTAAGTCCAACTTAGAGATAAGTTCAACTTAAGATCTTTGTGAAACACCCCCCAAGTTTTGTAGTTGCGATTTGTCCCAATTTATGCATCTTGAGAATGTGACATATTAAAGCTTAAATTTAAAAGTATTCAACAATTGCCCCTAATTCAACTAGTCCGCCTATCATTTTTGAGTTGCGTACAAAAAACAAAAAAACAGCAATTTCGCTACGGGAATGACTAATTTAGTTACCGATGTATGAAGAATCTAGGTCTCTGATTAGGCCAAATAAAAAAAAAAACATGTTTAACGTCCTGCCTTTTTGAAAAATAGGAAGGAGGAGGTCCTTTTTTCCTTCTTTTTTTTTCTTCTTCAAAATGGCCGCTCAAAAATTTTCCTGACAGTTGGGCTATTTTTCGAGATGGCCGCCGGTAATTTCTTTTTTTCTTTTTTTTAAATCAGAAAAAGATAATTTTAGCAGTATGTTTTTCATGTTTTAATTCATTGAAGAAAAACATGAGAAGAAGAAAACATGGACAGCTTGTATCCAATGGTTTGAACGGTATCAGTCTTTATAAACTGCTGGCTCCTCTCTCTTCCCATCTCCCAGAGGCTGAGCAGGCTGATGGCTCGGTAGCCCCAAACGCCACCTTCATATACACCTGGACTATCCCCCAGTCCATAGGACCGACGGATCTGGACCCAGACTGTCTGACGATGGTGTACACGTCAGGAACGGATGAAACGATGGACCTGTATTCCGGTCTCGTCGGACCTATGCTGATCTGCAAGGACGGGACTTTGGACGCTGATGGAAACCGGGTAAGAATTAACTCACATTTTAAAAAAAATACCTGTCTCTTAGGCCTATATGTCTGTCTATCATTGCATTATTTATT